TCAAGCCCAGCCAGCATGGGTTCATGAAAGGAAGGTCATGCTTGACCAATCTGATCTCCTTCTATGACCAGGTGACCCACCTAGTGGATTAGGGAAAGGCCATGGATGTCAACTACCTGGACTTTAGCAAGGCCTCTGAGGCCGTGTCCCACAGCATTCTCCTAGAAAAGCTAGGGGCTCATGGCTTAGACAGGAATACCCTTTGCTGGATAAAAAACTGGCTGGATGGCCAAGCCCAGAGAGTCGTGCTGAACGGAGTTAAGTCCAGGCGGCGGCCGGTCACCAGTGGTGTTCCCCAGGGATTGGTTTTGGGGCCTGTCCTGCTTAACATCTTTATCAATGACCTGGATGAGGGGATTGAGTGCTCCCTCAGTAAGTTTCCTGATGATACCAAATTGAGCAGGTGTGTTGATCTCCTCGAGGGTACAAAGGCTTTGCAGAGGGATCTGGACAGGTTGGACCGATGGGCTGAGGCCAATTGTATGAGGTTCAATAAAGCCAAGTGCCGGGTCCTGCACTTTGGTCACAACAACCCCGTGCAACACTACAGGCTCGGGGGAGAGTGGCTGGGAAAATGGCCAGACGAGGTTAGGGTTGGAAGGGACCTTAAAGATCATCTAATTCCAACCCCCTGCCATGGCATGATGCCGGCCACACTCAGTCTGGCAAAAGGGGGGACTGGGGACAGTTGCTGGGTCATCCTCCTGCCAGGATGGAGCATCATGCCAGAGAGCACGAGCTGTCGTGGGCTAGAAACATGCTGGCATCAGAGCGTCCCCAGCTCATCACGTGTCATGCTGTTTTGGGACTCCAGCTTGGTCATATGGCAGAGGCCAGGTCATCTCTTCTAGAGAAGAGGAGGGTGAGAGGAGACCTTATCACTCTCTACAACTACCTAAAAGGAAGTTGCAGTGAGGTGGGCGCTGGCCTCTTCTCTAAAGTAACAAGTGACAGAACAAGAGGAAAGGACCTCAAGTTGCACCAGGGGAGGTTTAGGCTAGATATTAGGAAAAATTGCTTCACTGAAAGAGTGATCCGGCATTGGAACAGGCTGCCCAGGGAAGTGGTGAAGTCACCACCCCTGGAGGTGTTAAAGAAATGTGTAGATTTGGTGCTTAGGGACATGGTTTAGTGAGTTAGGTGGTGCTGGGTTGACAGCTGGACTTGATGAACCTTGAGGTCTGTTCCAACCTTAATGATTCTATGATTTTTTCTTGTCAGGGTCAGGCAAAATCCAATGTCGTAGAGAAATAATTCTGGCCTTTTTTAGGCAACACTTAATTATGGTACTTTGATAATGAAAATGATAAAAGCAACATATTAAGTTTGAGGCAAAAAACTCCACCCTAGTATGTTAAAGAAAAAATATAATTCTGAGTATATATTTTTTTAATGCTGAAGCATACATGTTAAAGAAAATGTGCCACGTACCTCGTCCATCCACAGTGATACCTATTCCACTGCTACACAGGCCATGGAATTCAGCTACTCCATTGAAGCAAGAGATGTCGGGGAAAGAAGAAAATTTTATTTCTAGTGTTTCAGCTTTTTTAATCCTAAACCAAATCAACCTGATCTATTCAAAACAAATTTTCAACAAAGTAAGCAATAAAATGCCAATGTTCACATTGAATAACCACTTATAAATAATCTAGATAAATATGTAGAGTAGCATTCCACCCTGAACTTTCACCTAAATACAGAACCGAAATTTGATAACAAGAATTAAACACTCAAGCGATTTCGTTACAGTCTTGACAGTACTGTCTCCTTAAGTTACTGCTTTCAACCACAATGCCAGTTTTACTTCATTTTTTCTAAATAGTTTTCTGCTATCTCAGAAAATGACACTGAATGGAAATACTGTCCCAGATACATAATCTTGGTTCTCCATTAAAAATATATTTTTAATCAATCCCCAGCTTTATTTGCAGAACTGACTCTTATAAAATGAAATAGAGATTTCTAAAATTCATATGCATTGCTTTTTTTAAACTGGATTGATTTGACTACCAAATTAACAGATTAATCAGAGAACTCGGCTTATTATTTTTAAAGTCTTAATACTTAGAGTCAATACTTTATATGCAACTTCATCCATAGCATACTCATGTCCTTTGTCCTGAATTTTGTCACAGTCTAGCCAGCTCTGGAACTAGCTTCACCTCAAACATTAAAACGCGTAAAACGACAACACTCAACAAAAAATACCAGAGAGTTTTTCTTTACAGGAGAAACTATTTCCAGAATCAGTGTACAATTCCACTCAGTCCCCTATTCCCTTCTCTGTAAGGCGTGAAATAAACGGAACACTTGATTTGAGCAAGATTTTTTTAAAGTCTGTATGTTCACTGTAGTCTTCAAAGAAACACAAAATTTCACCTGAGTTTTTAGCAGGGCAGGGGTGACACGGCTCTCCAAAACCAAAGGCAGGATTGGCACAACAGCATTCAGACTTTGTCACAGCACCAGGGAAAGGACGGACACACACTCCTTTTTTGATGCTTCCATAGCATGTGCTACGCATATGAGTATCTAAGAAAGAGCAAGCAAAGAAATAATTTATTTTCTTAGGCTGAATGAAGTGTATGCATATTATCTCAACGAGAGCTAAAAAAATATAAAATTGTTCAACAAAATGTTTACATTGGCTACATCTGCATTGCTCTGCTACAATAATCCTCATGGCATCCAGGCCAGTTCTCAAAATGGTTAGCTCCTGGAGCTTCATCTAGAACAGTTTAAAACCACCTAAACTAGCATACTGTGGGCAAATTTAAAAGCATTCTATAGGACTGAGAAAAGATGAGCCACACATCAGAGCAGCTTTGTAAATCCATCAACATCCACCTCAGTAAGAAACACAGAATGGTTTGAACCAGCATGCGGTGACTAATTTTTCCTTTTAAGAAGTACTACAACCATAACCTGAACACGCAGATCTCGTATTTACTTCCAAAAAGTTCCTCATGTAGGATAACTCACCAGCAGCCCAGGGCTGGTAAGACGGGAGGTTACCTGTTTCCAAAAGGAGGAGCACAGCCTCCTACTGTATTTACAACTTCTGAATAGAAATGTGATTTCAGCAGGTTGTTCAGATGAGCATCTACATGACACGGCCATTCTAAAAGGTTTACACGTAAACTGGCACCAGTGCTGGCTTAGGGTTAGGATAGCTAAGAGGTCCCAACACCTAGCTGGCAACAGCAATTTAGCAATTCTTACACATGACTCAGTAGGGGGGGAAAGCAGTACTGCTGCCTTGAGTATAAGAAATTTCTGGAGGTTTGTGACTGAAAAGTCACCATGGAAATGACAGTGTCATCCCTGGGAGACAGCTGGAAATGATAGCCAGGACAAACCACCACTTATTACACAAAGAAAACAGGTAATACCTGCAAGGTCTCCAACCTCAAAAATCGTGCCATAAAAGACAGCAGAAAAATTATACAGGACAGGCACACATTTGTAGGACTCACCATGAGCACACTGCCAATCTAGCAGCTGATTTAGTCATATAATTTTGACTGACTTGACCAGTAAGATGTAGTAAGATGCATTTTCCAAGGCAGACCTACCTTTGCAGGTATAACCATCTGCTACACTTACCTCAGAACTATAACAATGTCTCTTAGACTGCTGTTTATGTGTTTTGTTTTGGGCTTTGATGCTGTTCTGGTTTTTTGGTCATTCCGGGGTTAGATGCCTTTTCCATATTTGCTTATCGGATAATAGTGGAGATCTTCTAACAAGCACTGGTTTTTTGGTCATTCCGGGGTTAGATGCCTTTTCCATATTTGCTTATCGGATAATAGTGGAGATCTTCTAACAAGCATGTGAGTGGACAATCCACCTAAATGTGTGGACTCCAGGATACAGATGGAGTAAATAGCCTTTAGTTTTGACTCCTATACTTCTATAGACATCTGTTGGAACTGCAGAAATACTCTGTTTCAGGCATCTTTATGTACCACGCCAGAACATGGCTTTAATTTACGCTCTTTGTCAGTCTCCCAGTACCATACACTGTAGCCTGGACATGAGCCTGGGTGTACTCAGAAACTGAGTAGGGTCTGAGGGAATCCAAACAGTTACCTACTTAAAAGTTGACCCTAAAACAACAAAGAAAAGTTGCATGAAAAAATCCTACAGTGGATGCTGAATATCCTGTGCCAATCTGAACTAGAACTGGCAATTCCTTGTGTTCTGCTTGCTCTTTGAGCATTGTAAGCTGGCTCCTATAAAACAGGATTGCCTGTACATAAATGTTTTCTCTTGCTTTTGGTATCCCATGGAGCAGATAGTTCTGGAGTACAGTTAAATATGGCCCAGATTTCGGGTCTTGTTCCTTGCCAAGAGTCTAGGTGAAGCCAGTAAAATTTGACAGCAGGAAAAGATAATTAGGCCTGACAACAAGCAAGAATTTTTGCACAATAAGTGTCTGTTCATGTACTCTGCAAACTA